TAGCAAGATCGCAAGGGATCACATTAGCTAACCCTGTGCCATACTGGCCCTCGAAGTTCGGGGAGTTAATTGTGCAACTATGTGGCATGTCAGTTGTAGATGTCGACTTCAGTGACCCGACAAATGGAAAGTTGCTGGTCCGCAAAAAAAGGCCACGCTAGAAGAGTTAAATTTAAAATTTTTTAGTCGCACATGAGCGGGGAACATACCTCTTAAACCGGGAAGTTAATTGTGCAGCTATTTGGTATGTCAGTTGTAGGTGTCGACTTCAGTGACCCGACAAATGGAAAGTTGCTGGTCCGCAAAAAGGCCGCACTAGAAGAGTTAAATCTGAAATCTTTTAGCCGCACATGAGTAGGGGACACCCCATTAAAATTAAAGCCTTCAACTTTTCCCGTTCCCGAGTTAGCAGTTTTCCCATCAAAATTTTTATGCGTCCGCACAAAAGTACAGAACGGCTTTAAGGAACTAAATTTGAAACCTTTTGGTCATACATGAGTAGCGAACATTACCCTAAAGTTTCAGCTTCCAAGCTTTTTTCGTTCCCGGGTTAGTGATTTTCGCGCCAAAATTTCCAAGTGCCCGTATGTGGGCCGCGGGTGCTTCTAAGCACATGATTTTGGCCCCATATGAGGAGGAAACATTCCCCTAAAGTTTCAGCTTTCTAGCTTTTCTCGTTCCTTGGTTAGTAATTTTCGCGCCAAAATTTCGACACGCTCGCATGTGGGCTCCGGGTGCTTCTAACCACCTTATTTCGCTCGTACGTGAGCAGGGAAAATCCCCGTAAAATTTCAGCTTTCTAGCTTTGTCTGTCATCAGCCGAAATGAAACCGCACAGAATATACTTCTCGGGTACCCAGCCACGCTTGCGAAAAATCATTCCTTTGGCTATATCTTCTGGCAATTTCATCCCTTCAGTCATCATTTTCACAATTAGCTCCTTAGACGAAGCTACGTCAAATTTCGTCGGGTCTTCTCGATTTACTAATTTGCATGTGGCACACTCAAAATCGTAAACCCGAAAGTTTAGGGGGGCGCTGGACCCTTTCATTAGTTTCTACGGTTTGAGTCAGTTAGCTAATTTTTCCTTCATTTTTTCCTACTCTATTACTTATTTCTTTCAGCCCACTCTTCATCTGACCAATCTCCTAAATGGTACTGAGACGGTTTCAGTAAAAGCAGTATGAATAGTAAGGTGAAAGCGGCCTAAAACAGCAGTCATGTTGTAGCACGCTCGGAAAGCATGCTGCATATTAGCGGGACTGTGTAAAAACCGCTCCACATGTGCGGATGGCAACAAGGTGCCATCCCATGTATAAAGCTTTTGTCGTCATAATCGTAAGGAGAGTGGGACAACGCTTTCTGTCGCGTTGTAACT